GCTGAGTGCTGTTTCTGACGGCCACACGGGGCTGCACGTATGCACTGTCCAGAGTTTACGCCCTCACCCCACCGAGACGGACACGAGGCTGCCTCCAGCTCCACATCACGACAAAGCCTCGATGAACATCTTCCCTCGCGTGTCTCTGCGTTCCTTGGGGAATGTCTCAGGGGCAGACGTACAGGAGTGGGGATGCCGGGCCATGGGGCACATGCTGGGTTTATTTTATTTGTTTTCTTAAGCGCTGACCGAGCTCTGCAGAACAGCTGGCCCGGCCCACGCTGAGCATGGCATGGCCAGGCCTCATCTTCAGCGGATCACGTCCAGGAAGCAGGGGGAGTGAGAGGATGTGGCTCTAAGAAGGTGATGACTCCCAGCCCGTGGTCCCGAGGATGGGACAGTTGGCAGACGAGACCAGGCATAGCAAAAACGATCCCAAGCTTGGGAGAACCGGGAATACAGCAGAAAGTCACGTGTCTAGAATGTTTTACTCCCTAGAACAGCACGTGGACAAGTAGGAGGGGTGTGTGTGTGCATGTGAGCACGTGCATGTGTGTGTGCATGCATGCATGTGTGTTTGTGTACGCATGTGTGTGCATGTGTGCATGCACATGTGTGAGTGCATGTGTGTGTGTGTGCATGTGTGCATATGTGTGTGTGCATGCACACACACACTTCTACTGTGGTCCTGAAAGAAATCCTTGTCTTTTGTAGCCGCGCATGTGTGTGTGCATGTGTGCATGCACATGCACATGTGTGCGTGCATGTGTGTGTGTGCATGTGTGTGTGCATGCACACACACACACTTCTGCTGTGGTCCTGAAAGAAATCCTTGTCTTTTGTAGCCACAGGATAGAGATTTCTGCAAGAGGAGCCCAAGGCCCAGTCCTGGGGTGGCAGAATTATAATGCAAACTGAACTCACAGCCTTGCAAGGAAGGAGGACTTGGGAGAATGGGACCATCATCTTGGTGACGCTCTGAAAACCTTGAACCTTCTAACTCTGTAAGTCTCCTTTTCAAGTCCAAGCAACCCTCCCTCCCTGTCAGAGAGGAAAACCCTTCCTGTCTGTAGAAGCTATTAAGAAATGCCCTTTGGTAGCTGTACGTAGCGGGTGCCAGTCCCCCAAGATCCACCTCCACCTGCTCTCATTGCTTCTAGATTTATGGCCAGATGCAGTTCCCAGAAGTGAGAGGGGATATGATCTATCGCCTGCAAAATTTCGCTCATTTTTATCAACAAACACCCAGGTCACATGTGTTTAAATGATTCATAAGGACGTTGGATCAGGGTGAAAGGAATTGGATTGGATCAGGCCTTATTTACTGACACGAGCTCACTAACTAGAGGTCAGATTCAGTGTGTCAGCTCAAGCAGCAGGAGTGGTTCTCACAGGTTTTCTTGTTTGTTTGTTTTCGGTAGAGTCACTGGACTCAGAGGTGGGCAATATGGGAGAAAGTCGAAACGCCAGGACTTCCTTGGTGCTCCATAATGGACTGAGGGAGACGGGCTTGCTGGCGTAGGTTTGTGCAATCTGCTTACCAACCCCTCAGTGGGATCCCAAGGAGGGTCCCAAGGATACTGTCTTCCCCATGTTTTGGGGAGACGGGGTGACCAGATGTGGATGTTCTCTGCAGGCCGGGGCTGCCAGCGGGAGGTGCTCGCATCACATGGGGACAACAAAGTCCCAGAGAGGTAACTGCCAGAGACCAGGTGGCCACAGGGACCATAAAGGCAGCGAAGTCAAACTCAAAGCCCGGCGGCCTGATTAGGGGCTGTTCTTGAACCTCCCCGCCTCCCCCCGCACACTCCTAACTCCCGAATCTTCACTGGCCCAGTCTGGCGTGCACTTGAGTAAGCTCGAATGTGTGAAATTTCCCTAGGGAGTACATTCTGTAAGTAAATTCCCATGTGCGACAAATGAAAGCTATATTCCCGTAATACTTATGGCGACGCCTTCTCCCCACATTGAATCATGAGGGATGCAGACGCTTGTCGGAGGACGTAAACCCTGAGTGGAACCTTGAAGGATGAGTAAGAGTTTGTAGCCAAGAATCTGCTGAGGGCTCCAGGAGTGCGGATAGCCAGGGTTTGCGGGACAGCCTGGCCCCGTGGGAGCCGCCTTAGCTGAGAGAAGGGACAGGCGTGTGTGGTAGGAGAAGAGGCTGGGAGGTCGACCGTCCGGGGCGGTGTTGGTTACAAGGTTAGGGAAATTGGTCCCTCGTGTCTGGAAAACCTCACTTGCCACCAGAGCCTTTGGTACTTGGCCTTCTCTCTGTACCAGTGTTCCCTGGAGGCAGAGATAAGTCGTTCGAATGTAGAGCCACACGTGTGCTCAACGCTGTGAGTGCCGGCCTCTTCTCCATCCCACGGATGGGGACCCGAGGCCCGGGGTGGGGTGCTGATCAGCCCAGCACCCTCAGGAAACGCTGGGCAGTCGGGCTGATTCTTGAAGCCTCGGTTCCCCCGAGGGCCAGCCAGGCTCGTCGCTGTGTCTGGGGAGGCTTCGAGTTCCACCAAGGCCTCTGCCCTGCACCTGTGCATCCAGCCTCAGCTGGCAACTTGGCCATCAGTGCAGCCACCAGCTCTTCTCAGGGTGGCCACTCTCCCAGGGCTGACACTGGCCCTGGCGGGCCCAGCTCACAGGACCTGCGTGGTGGCGGTGCGGGCAGTAAGATGCGGTCAGGTTGTACATTTATTTTTTCTGCACCAAGCAAGGTATGGAGAATTTAACAGCGAATCAGACAGACACTCTCCCTGGCCTCACTGTACACTCTGCATCACCCAGGTCCTATGAGACAACCAGGTCACAGTCAGCTGTCAGCGCTCAGCCTCGGAGCCGGTTGAGTCAGAACCAGTGTGTCTGAGCCCACAGGGGAGCCGCTTGCTTCCCGAACCTCAGTTTCCTAGGCCATGAATAAGGCACGTCGACCCCAGGGGAAGCTGTCGGCGTAAGTGTGGAAGAAACCCTCTCAGCAGGTCCTGGCCGGGCCGTGGGACACTGGATTCAGAAGCTGTGCCCGCTCCTGCCCAACCCACAGCCATGCAGGGGAGAGGAGACTCAGAGAGAGTGAGGGTTAGGACCAAGGTGACCCAGGTCGCGGACACAGAGGAGCCTCTGTGATGACGAGCGAGGAACATTAATAACAGCCATTGATTCGGCATCGACCATAGTCTGACACCATAGTCTACCTCCTGCACATCGCGAGGAGGTAGATACTGTCGTCATCCCCACTTTACAGATAGGAAAACTGAGGCTCAGAGAGGTGAGTAGCTTTCCCAAGCTCTCCCAGCTGGAACGTAGCAAAGTGAGGGTTTAACGCAGCCCAGCCTGATCGCACAGGCCTTGCCTTTTCCTTCCACCCTCCTATGTGAGAAGTGGGGAGTCCTGGGCCCCCCACCTACGCCCAAGGCTGGTGCTTCAGCTGTGCCCCTGACCAAGTCAGCTGTGGTTCAGGAATGGCAGAGCAAGCAGGGGGGACGGCCAGGGGCTGTCCAGTGGCCCCAGCCTCCCAGAGCACACCTAGCTGTCTGGGCTGGACACGAGGGACAGTCACCCTGACCTGTTCGCCTCTAGGCAGACCTGGAGCCCAGGCTCTCCCTTCAGTGGTTCTTCCATTCTTGCTTGGGCCCCAGAAAGAAAAGCAGAGTCCCACCTCAGCCGCCGAGGCAGCCCAGCAGGGGCGCAGAGGACCGAGCAGGCCCACCTGCACCCTTCTCTGCCTTTCGAAGCAGCCAGAGTGGCTCGCCAGTGGCCTCTGCGTCTGGACACCAGTGTGTTGTCTGCGTCTGCATAGCTCTGGGAGCTGGCATCCTGCCGCCTGTGATGCAGGGGCCCTGCTTATCTTCACGAGACAAATAAATGACAAACAAATAAGCTGTGAGCAGATCTGAGGCCTCCGGGCGCCTGGTCCTGAAAGCCTCTGGAATCTTCTGTGCATCTGGCTCTGGTCAAGGAGGCCTTACTGTCTGGCGTGGGAACGTTCTTGCCTGGCCTCTGTTCTCGACCCTCTCCCCCGCACCAGCCCCTCTTTGGAATTTATTTACAGCTGCTCCGGGAGGTCTGTTGGAGAAAGCGGCTGGAAGCTATGCTCAGGCGGAGGGGGACATATGGAGGGGGACATATAAACAGCTGGATCAGGGACGCAGGCTGGGAGAGGTGGAGGTGGGAGGCACGGCCTCGGGGCCCCAGGAGGAATGAGGCCCCAGCCCGAAACACTGTCCCCACTGCGGGCTCCCCTGTCCATTGCCTCCCACATCGTACGTGCCTACTGTGTGTCAGGTCTGCATGCAGGACACAGATGTCACCAAGTCCAGACGCTGGCCTGGAGGCCAAGTGAGAAGATGCATCACAGACGAGGAGATCACTGAGCACTTCTGGCGATTACTAGTTAACAAGCACACTATGCCTTTCATTTACTCCCTTGCTTTCTGTCTCGGCAAATGGTTATAGGGCACGCGTGCGCGCGCACACGCACACACACAGGATAATCGTATAGTGCCAGCTCAAAGACCCAGATCCTTGCTGGGGCAGGGAGTGGGGGGAGGTGTGGGAAGTAGGGAGCGAGCAGGGGTGTGAGAGCAGGGGTGTGAGCAGGGGCGTGAGCAGGGGTGTGAGCAGGGGTGTGAGCAGGGGCGTGAGTGCCCGGAGGCCATGGCGGCTGAGCGTGGGGCATAAGAGGGACAGTGGGAAGAGCAGTGTCCAGGGAGGCAGCTGGCCTTGGGGCCAGTGCAGGGTGGGATTCCGCGCTGAGTCGAGGGCGGGCTTCGGGAGGCAGTGCCCGGGAGAGGGCTGTGATCTTGCTTTGATTTTCCGGGGATGGTTCTGGTGGCTCTGATAAGCTTGGACAGCAGAGGGCGGAACAGGGCCCATGGGAGACCCCCTCACCTGTGCAGCAAGTGTCCAGCAGGGGGTGAGACCAGGCACCCCAAACCCACCAAGGATCACACGTGCCCACATGTGGGGAGACAGCTCCAGCCCCAAAGGGCCTGGCTAAGGAACAGGGAAAGCATCTCGGAGGATCGAGGATCGGTGACCACGGCCTCAATCTGCAGTGCGAACCCGAGCCCAGCACTGAGCTCGTTGGCGAATTCCTGTCATTTCTGGACAGGCGGATTAAAAGCCATTCTCCTTTGCTCAGGGCCACGGGGACAGGAGCGAAAGATGACAAATGAAAACCAGAAGTGAGAGCAGACTGAGAAAGGGGAGGGGGGCTATTTCCCCTGCTGAGAGCGCTTTCGAAGCCCCCCACCTGCCCACCGGGGTACCCGTATCTTCGCTCCACCCTGCCCCTTCCCAGGCTCCCCATCCCCACCTTTGTGAGACACCCCCCAGGATGCCCCACTGCCTGCTTCGTGAGAGTTTGCCATCCTGGTGTGAAATCATAGGCCTGTAACTTCCCCTTTAAGACCGTGGGAGCCAGGGAGGCCGGCCAAGCCTGGGCTGGAGGTGGGGACAGAGGGAAGAAAGAAAAAAAGGAGAGAGAGGCAGGAAAAGTTTTTTTCAGAGGAAAATGCTGGGTTTGTCCTTACCCCTGACGTCAGATCTTGCTTTAATAAAACCCCCAAGGGCTGTGGGAAGAGGCGTATCTGGTGCTCCTGATGGGCCGGCCAGTCTCGGCCCAGCTCCCCGGAGAGGTGGACCTCTGGGCTGCTCGGTCGATGCCTTTGCACTGACTTCCAGGCATGAGGTGGTTCCTGCCCTGGACGCTGGCAGCAGTGACGGCGGCAGCCGCGGGCAGCGCCCTGGCCTCGGTGAGTCCCGCCTGGAGGGGCTGGGAGAGGGGGCCGAGGTCCCTTCTCCACCTGGTCCTGCTGCGCGGTGTGCGGGATGAGAAGGGCTGGAAGGATGGGCAGCCAGCGGGCTGAGGGGGCAAGGGCGAGGCCTGGGGCAAGGTGTTGGGCTGCGTGGGGTCGGGGGATGCTGGCAGGGCGCGGAGGAAGGGGTGACAAGCGAAGAAACGGCACGAACAGGGCCTCCATCCTCCCCACCCGGAACAAAGCTAAGAGGAGGGGTCTGCACAGAGCTGGGGGCTGGGGGCCTGGATTCCAGACCCGGCTTGGCCGCGACTGGCTGTGTGACCTCGGGCTAGTCACTCACCCTCTCTGAGCAGCAGAAGGCGAGGAAAGTGTTAAGAGACCTCTAGAGTCTTTGGGTTTGGAAAATAAGTCTCCAGTGCTGGATGCATTACAGGAAGGAGAGCTGGAAAAGCCAAGAAAAGCTGGAAAGGAAAGTGCCAGCTTTCAGCAAAAGCGCCCCTCTAGAGTAAACAGAGCTTGGGACGCTGTCTAACGCCACTGCTGCCGCCTTGGGCTTGCACAGCCCTCTACAGTCTGCGAAGCAGGCAGGTTTACGTCCTGCCCATGACGCCCGCTGTCGCAGGGGAATCCTGTCTCTCTCAGGGGAATCCCGATGTTCCCTGTCTCCCACCTTCATCCCAGGGCACACCGAGGGATGGGGAGAAAGGGCTGCACCGCCAAGAAGCCAGGGGAGCGGGATACGTGGCAGCCCAGAGCCAGCCCGCTGGGGCTGGGTGTGGAGGCAGGCGCAGGGCGAGCAGGACGGGGACAGCTGGAAGGAGCTTCTGAATCCGGTGTCCCACAGCCCGGCCGGGGCCTGCTGCCTGCCAGAAAGCCGAGGGGCAGAGGGAGGATGGCGAGAGGGTTTCTTCCCCACTTACGCCAACGGCTTCCTCTGGGGTCCACGTGCCCCATCCATGGATGAGGAAACTGAGGCTCGGGAAGCAAGCGGCTCCCTCGTGGGCTCAGAGACACTGGTTCTGACTCAGCCGGCTCCGAGGCTGAGCGCTGACAGCTGACTGCGAACCAGTCGCCTCCTGGGAGCTGGGTGACGCAGAGCGGGCCGTGAGGGCAGTGTCTGATTCACTGTTAAATCCTCCGTACCTTGCACGGTGCCCGCCAGCCCTACAAAAAAGACACTAACTCCATTTCACGAATGAAAGAAGTGGACACAGCAAGTCACGGACTTGCCCAGGAGTCTCACCATCAGGGGCCAGGGCTCCAACGGAGGTCTTTCCCGGCCAAGTCCCGCTCTTTCTTCCGGAGCTTTCAGTGTCTCTGATTCACTGTTAAATCCTCCGTACCTTGCACGGTGCCCGCCAGCCCTACAAAAAAGACACTAACTCCATTTCACGAATGAAAGAAGTGGACACAGCAAGTCACGGACTTGCCCAGGAGTCTCACCATCAGGGGCCAGGGCTCCAACGGAGGTCTTTCCCGGCCAAGTCCCGCTCTTTCTTCCGGAGCTTTCTGAGTTTAGGGGACACGGAGCATCTCCCACAGGCTGGAGCCGCCAGAAGGGGCCAACTCAGCCCTCGTTTCAGGGCTGCGAGGAGAGAGTTGCGAGGGGCGGGCGGCCAGGGCTGAGGGAGGGGCGGGGAGAGTCTGCAGTGGGTCTGAGGACACCGGAGCCCCAGGTGCCTCCACAGGGATCCCGAAGACGGGCCGCAGAGCCCTGGGCTCAGCCAAGGGGACACGCAGCACAGTAGCCAAGAGCCAGACAGGCTGGGACAGCAGGAGGGAGGGACAGCTCCTGGGAGGAGGCAGGGCACCTCTCCTGCCTGGAGACCTTTTTGGGGACCCGACAGCACCAGGTCCCTGACTCAGGAGCTCCCCGCACAAAGCCTGGGGCATCCTTACTGACCCCCCCACCCCCACCCCGCAACTCCGTGAGGGCCGTGAGACAAGTGGCGACCAGCACTCTGCTATACAGCCCGACTCCAGGCATGGCCGCCCTCCTGGAACTCACATGTAAGGGGAGTGCGAGTCCGCCCAGAGACCCAGCGGGACTTTAATGGAAAAAATGATTATAGCCGTTCCTACGGAAGACAAAGTTTTGTGGGAATTGCCAAGAAAGCTTCGAGGAAGTGGAGCTGTGAGGGGGACGCCGTTAGATAGCAAAGCATTATCTAGAAGTTCTGTCATCAGAGGAGGAAGAGATAAATCAAGCAGCGAGACGGAACAGTGAGCTCCGCCGCGGAGCCACGTCTGCCCGGGACCGTCGTGTGTGATGAAGGTGCTCTGCAGATACGGCTCGTTGTGCCATCGCTTCCTTCCTTTCCTCCCTCCTGCAAGTCCTCAGTACCCGCCAGGGCCTCGGAGGAGGGGAGCTGCACGTAGTGAGCTCAGCCGAGGCCTGTGCCAGACGCTACACACGTAAGGCCGTTCTCGGTTCATCCAGCAGACACTTAGGAAGCACCTCCTAAAATTCTCATAGCAATACTGTTAAGCAGATGTTATCATCCTCCTTTGTGGAGGCAAAACTGAAGCTCAGAGAGGTTAAGTCATCTGCCCAAGGTCACACAGCTGGTTTTCAGTGGAGCGACGTTTGAACCTGGGTCCAGCTCTTAGCAGTGCAGCCTGCTGCATCCCTGCTCCACGAAGTTGTGCAGAGATGAGAAGCACACGGTCCCTGTCCCTCTAGAGCTTAGAGGCTAGCGAGGCAGGTGACAGTCACCCACATGTCAGAATGAGAGGCGATAGGGGATGGGCGTCCAAGAGAGCTAGGTGGAGTGCGGGCTCTGCCGCTGGCTGTGCCAGCTTCAGCGAGGCCCTTGCCCATAGTTTGAATCTGAGTGGTATTTTGAACCCCACCCAAGGCCCAGCACCCACCAGCTCCCTGCTCAGAGCCTCTACTGGATGCTCTGCTCCCAACTCGGGCCCCTGCATCCCCCGCTTGTCTGGGATGCTGGTGAGAGCATGTCAGGGACAGGCACGTTCCACTTGGCACAGCCCCTGGCTGGGCTCACCCTCTGGAATGGGCGTGGGAGCAGTGCTCCTCGGGACACTAGACCCTGACCTTGACCTGGGCAGTACTTCTGGCCTGTCAGCAGGATGGAGGGAAGACACCGCCCCCAAGTTTCAGAAAAATCCCCTGTCCCACCTCTGCCAGCAAAGCAGCCGAACTCCAGGAGGCTGCCTTAAGCTTTGAACAAGCAGAAACCCTGGAATTCACCCAGGGACCTCTGCTGTCTCTCTGGGTGGCAGGGAGGGGTTGCTACACCACCGTAGGTCCCTGTGGGCCAGGGTGGGAGTCCCAGGAGGAGCCAGGCAGGATGCCAACCGTGGTCCAGGAAACAAAGCAAGCAAGGAAGAAAGGGTCTCGATTAAACCATATGGCACTGAGACTCTCTCGGAGCGGGACGTGGGTACCGTTCATTCATTCACAGTACCCACATGTGGCACGCCCCATGTCCTTGTAATGTGGGCGATGATGAAGGCTAACATGGGCCAAGCGCTCACTGTCTGGGCACAGTGTCCTGAGCATTCTGCATGTATCAACTCACTCGAAACCCACAGGTCTAGGAGGAGGCAGTATCACTATAGTCCAGACCAGCACTGTCCAATCCGGAGCTCTGCCCACCTGAGGCTACTGAGCACAGACGCGTGGTTGAACGTGAAATTCTCGTTATAACTTTTCTATTGACACCATATTGAAATGACGATATATTTTTTATATTGAGTTAAACAAAGTATATTTTATTAAAACAAATTTTACCTGTTGCTTATTATTTATTAAAATTCCATATAAGGCTCAAATTACGTTTTAATAGATGGCGTTGGCCTGGAAAGACACAAATGTACACAGAGGGATTACAGTAGTTGAGGGAAAAATATTGAGAGTCCCGATCTCAGCACTCAAATAAGTGACCCAGCCTTTCTGAGCTAACTTCTGCATCTATAAAAGACATAATGTTAGTACTTGCTTCACGGGGTCAAAGAATGAGTGGAGATAAGGCATGCGAAGTCCCTGCACACCAGAGGGTACATGGGGACTGATCCCCATCTTCCACTAGCAGGGGAGGGGCATTCCCAGCTTGAGCGGAAGCACTGGCAGCAGACAAGTGCCAGGTCCCAGCCAGCAGGGGTTTACAAAGACCCCAGGCTCAGCACCAGGTGGGTGGGAGGAGGGGCAGACTAACTGTTAGGCTGTGCTGGGCTCCGTGCCAGGGGCATCTTCTGAAGATCTAAGGTTTCCACATCCTGGACAGCTTCCTGGCACAGCGAGGGGGTGAATGAATACTTTTTTGAATTATCAAATAGGAGAAAAAAATACTGATGATGATGATGATGATGATGATGATGATGATGATGGTGATAATGATGCTGCCGATGGCAGCGATGATGGTGTTGATGGTGATGATGTTTGATGATGGTGCTGATGGTGGTGCTGATGGTGTTGATGGTGGTGATGGTGTTGATGGTGATGGTGATGGTGATGATAATAATGATGATGATGGTGATGATGTTGATGATGGTGGTGATGATTATGGTTGTGATGATGGTGCTGATGGTGGTGATGGTGGTGATGGTGGTGATGGTGGTGATGGTGATGATAATGATGATGATGGTGATGATGTTGATGATGGTGGTGATGATTATGGTTGTGACGATGGTGCTGATGGTGGTGATGGTGGTGATGGTGGTGATGGTGGTGATGGTGATGATAATGATGATGATGGTGATGATGTTGATAATAATGGTGATGATTTGGTGGCGATGATGATTCTTAGAGGTGAGACTTGCGTCTTGTAACCCTGAGTCAGGGTCCCTTGATGCTGACTGTGAATTTCACAGCCCATTCTCGTACTTGTTCCGTAGATGCTAACAGCCATCTATGTGCTCAGCTCCTTCTGACTTTGGGAGGTGTGGTCATAAACAGTCGGCTCTGTCCCTACCATTGAGAATGGCTCTCAGGTCGGATATGGATTTTTGTAGTAGCAGAGAGGAGTGTG